CTGGAGAAGTGGCTGCTTGATGGGCAGCGGCAGTGATTTCCAGAAGTGGTGGGGAGGGTAAGAGGGGCAGGGGGGAAGACACTGAACCTCACCACAAGAGGACAGTAGTCACCAGCTGGCTTGGGTCTCTGCCCAACCTTGAACTGCTGCTTTGCTGAGCTTCAGGACAGGTGCCACTGCGCTGGTGACAAGGGAAGGGTTTGAAAGCTGTCAATCAAGCAGCTCAGCTACTCATTTTTACCAACTCGGGCAGCTTTAGTCATTTAAGAAGTGTCTGTAACCAATATCCAGCAAAATTAACATTCCTCTCCAGTAGACTTTATCTAGTACTTAACTCATAGCCATTGTCCTTGTGGGAAGAAAACAAAAAAGATAGTCTCAAGAGTATCTAGAACACACAAGAACACTACAGTATTAGTTGTTATTAAAATATTATAAACTTTCACCCACCTATATGACAAAATCTATTAAATATCTAATATGTGGAAAAACCATAATGCTAAAGAGTATAAAGTATACAGTAAAGCACAAGAATGACAGCCGGAGAGTTCTGCCAGGAGGAAGAATATGTGTTTGCTGTTTTTATTTTGACAGCTAGTATGGCTTCTGCAGAACTCTTCTGTTTTATTCTACTGAAAACAGAGGCAGCCATATTGCATCATATTGCATCCTTATTGACCTAAATCTGGTGGGGATTTTGTTGTTGTTTGGGTTTTTTTTTTTAATGCTATTCTGCTTAGGAATGAGTTATGCTAGTATATTTATACTTCTGCTATTTAAAAAAAAAATGGCAGGCCGGAGAGATGGCTCAGCAGTTAAGAGCACTGTCTGTTCTTCCAAAAGTCTTGAGTTCAATTTTCAGCAACCACATGGTGGCTCACAACCATCTATAATGAGATCTGATGCCCTCTTCTGGCATGTAGACATGCATGCAGACAGAACATTGTATACATAGTAAAATAAATCTCTTTTTAAAAAGGCTATAGAAAACCCAGAGATGAAGCTAGAAATTTGAGTTTTGCCTTGAGAACTAATATACAGCTGCAAAAACAGGGCTGTATCTAGAGAAGCTGTAGAGAGTAGGTGCTGCCGCCAAGCATACAAAGGGCAAAGAGGTGGAGGCATCACTGCTCTCACAGACGAGTTCTGAGGTCAAGTTCAAGGAAGAGAATGGTGCAGTGTGTGACCTTACCTCACTAGAGATCGTAACACACCTAAGAAAATAAACCCATCACCAGAAAAGGAGGTTAGAGAAGGAAACTGAGGTAAGGGGTAGCCAAGATCTGTCCCCAGGGAGAAGTAGCACTCTCCAGTGGAACTACATGTAAGCAAAGGAGCAGAGCCCCAAAGAGGATCTGGCTCCCACTGACAAAACCAACCTTCCTTAATCCACCACTTTTCACGGGGCTTTAAGATCAGAGACCTGCTGGGGTAACCAGGCCCAAATGTCAAAAGGCATGTGATGAGGGATGCACAGACATGCTGGCTGTAGTTTAATCTTCATGTTCTGTTTTCCTTGGGGAATGGGTTCCTTCAGTATCATTACTGGAATGCATGGTTGTTAGGGCTTAGTTGATATTCTGCCCTGGGGACATACTGAGTCATCAGTCTGTGCTACAGTTTAGATATGGTTTGTCTTCACCCAGACTTATGTTGAAATTGTATTTCCAGTGTGGTGGTATTAGGAGGAGTTATGAATAATCTTAACTGTCAACTTAACTAGAATTGAAATCACCATGGAAACACATCTGGTATGTCTATAAAGACATTTCCAGAAAGGTTTAACTGAAGAGAGAAGACCCATCCTAAATACAGATGGCACTATCTCCTGGGCTGGGTCTAGGGCTGAACACAGGGAAAGCAAAATGAGCAACAGCATTCATTCATCTTTCTCTGCTTCCGGATCACGGGGTGAGTAGCCATCGCAGGCTCCTGTTGCCATGCTTTCCCTCTTGTGATAGACGGTACCCTCAAACTGTGAACCAAAATAAATCAATCTTTTCACACAGCCACGAGAAAAGTCATGAATAGCGCAGGTAACGCCGTTTGGAGTGATTAGGAGGGGGTACTACCCTCGTGAGTATACAGGTGCAGTCTCATGGGGTCTCTCTTGCTCAGGGGACGGTTATAAAGGAAAGGGGCAGCTCTGCTCACTCTCTCATCACATGAGGTAGTGTCTCCTTCCCATTCTACTGTGAGTAGAAGCCACACGGAGCCCTCACCACACACAGTTGCCTCACTTCAGACTTCCAGCATCTTGAACTAGCACCTTAAATAACCTTTCTTTTCTGAATTACGGAGCATTACACTAAATATGAATGTTAAGTAATTTGACATCTTAAATAGCTTATGTTTCTAAACAAATGATTATATTCATTATAGAAGATTTAATAAAGTACAGAAAAGCATAGAAAAGAAAACAAGCATAGTCATTTATCCTACCACTTGGAGGGAAATCTGCCAACATTTTGCTGTATATCTTTTAGACATTTTTTTCTCAGTTGATATATACCAGGGTATGTATACAAACCTATATGGACAGAATTATAATATTTCACTTTCTGTGTAAAAGAGCAGAGTACGTGTGGCACAGTCCACAAATACAGTGAACTAGTTAGGTTAATGTAAAAGTTCCACTTGTAACCTACCTCCCCCAACCCAAGACAGAATTTCTCTGTGTAGACCTGGATGTCCTGGAAAACTCGCTCTGTAGACCAGGCTGGCCTCGAACTCAGAGATCCACCTGCCTCTGCCTCCTGAGTGCTGGGTTTAAAAGCCTGAGCTACTATCGCCCAGCTTTGTAAAAGAGTTTTTATAATTTGTTTTCCTTCCTGATTTCTTGAGTAAAATTCTTTAACTTTACCCTACCCTGTTTGGATTTAGATGTATAAATTTGGCCTTTCTTATTGCTTATTCAAAGTAAAGGCAAGAAAATCTAAAGTTTCTTTTATAAATATAATCTATTTGGAGGACAGAGAAAATGCATGTTTTCTGTGGAGCACAACACACAAATGCACACTTCAAATAAAGCTGTTTTTAAATAATTAAACTGTTATCCACACAGCCCATATATTTACTGATTTTCTGCCAACTAGAATTATTATGTACTGATTGTAGGAGTCTAGCCAGTGTTTAGTTAAGAGTCGAAGGGAAAAAATACATGAGCTGTAATGCTACTAACACAGGGTTCCTTTTGTAGGTCTTAAGACTCCAGGTCTGTGATATTGCACTGCCATGTACACAGAGTACTGATCTATAAGTCTTTTACATCAACACTGGAAAAGCAAATCCCAGACCTCTTAAACTTTGTTTTCTGTTGCTTAAACAGATACTTGGCACTCAGTAATTCAGAAAGAGAGAAGCTGCTCAGCATTCAGCAGCAGCTGAGGAAAGACTTCAAGAAGATAAATGGGGAGCTGGAGGTAGCTCAGCATTTTAGAGTACCTGAGAGGACACAGGTACTATTCCCAGCATCCACATGGCAACTCACAACCATCTGTAACTCCAGTTCCAGGGGATCTGATGCCTTCTTCAGACATCTATGGGCATTAGGCACAAGGGTGATGCACATACGTACATACAGGCAAAACACGCATACAAATTAAAATAAGTCTAAAAAAAATTTTTAAAGAAGGTCCATCTGGGAGATTAAATATTTTATAGAACAGGTAATGAATGATCTTTAAACAACAAAAGAGAACATTCTTACTTTACAAGGTGACTTAATGCAAAGCTTCATTTGTCAACATACAATTCAAACGAGCATCTGGCTCATGACCACTAATGCTTCCACTCCTTCAATAAAATACCTGTGGATTTACAACACGGACACCACAACCTACACAACCTCCCACCAAGACCATAAGACATCTGAGTACAGAACTGGGTTGCAACTGACTGACCCTAAGACAGACAGGCAACAGGTAGAAATCTCCCCAGGAGCTCACAGCTTTAACTGCTTTTTGGAACACCAGCAGCCATGAAATAAGGTGGGAATGCTTTCTCCCTCTCTCCCCAGCAGCACCCCAAGTCATGGACCCAACGCTGGAAAGACAGGGACAAGAAGCCAGCACTGTGAGGCAGATGACTGTCACACAATCACCACCAAAAGGCTTGGATCATCACATAACAACATTCCAGCCAAATCAAAGAGTTATTTTAAAATGAAAGCCAGGACCACTTATTTCCTCTTGGGCTCTCCGTTAAAATAATTTCAGGAAATGATTAACAGATCTGAATGACATAATTTAGTACCAAGTTTTGGCAAGGGCTCAAGGAAGCAAGTACTCTCATGAACTGGTGGGAACAAATTGGCATATTATTTCTGGCGGGCAATCTGGCTAAATGTGATGAAAGTCTTTAAAATGTTTATACTCTTTGACTCACTAAGTCAACGTCTAGGAATTTTTCCTGAAGAAATAATCAGAGATATAAAAAATTTACTTTTAATATTCCAAGACCAGAAAGAACATAAACAACCAACAATACACACATGGCAATAACAGTGGACTAGTGAATATATAAAACAGTTACATGATAAATACTAGCTGGCATTTAAAACAACATTTAAAAGAGCCAGTGCTGAGAATATGCTCAGAAAGCATTAAATGCATCAAAAAGTCAATCAATGTATACAGGATGGTTCTAAATTTTATTTTATCCTATTTTTGTGTGGTGCTAGGAATCAAATCTAAAGCCTCAAGGATGAGGCCATGAAAGGGTCTACCACCGTGATGCATCCCACCCCTGATATTCTTCCTAACTACATCACACCATCTGATATGATTCACTATACTTCCATTAAACTTTGAACTACCTGTACAGGAATCTGAGTGTTTTCCCTTGGAATCCCCAGTGCCAATCTGTCTAAATTCTAATAGATCTTCAAACCACAATGCTGGATTCACAAACACATTTGGACAACTGATTCTCTTTGCTCCATGATTTTAAGGTCTTGAAGAGAAATGTCAACAAACACTAGTGGAGAGCCCTCTCCTTACCTTCGCTAGCAGGCTGGAAACGTGTTTAATTTCACCATTTGCCTTTAGCAATTCTTGTCTGAGCTCCGTGCAAGACAGTTGCAATTGGTCTTTCTCAGCTCGGGCCGCCTTCAGCATTTCCTGAGCCTCGAAGCTCTCTGCTGTCTGCCCCACGGTACCGCTGGCCTCTACGGCCTTTTGCTTATCAGCCTCCAAATGAGCCTTCAAGGACCCATTCTCCATTTTCAAGCCTTCCAAGGTAACTCTACACTCCTCCAAAGTTTTGGCCATCACACTATTATTACACCGTTCGTGTTCTAGGAACCCATTCAGCTTCTCATTTTCCTCCTTCAGGTGCTTGATCATGTCTATAGCTCCTTGGTTTTCTTCCTCAACCTTCCGTAGGCTACAGGTCAGCTGCTGCTGAATGTTGAGCAGCTTCTCTCTTTCAAAGCGGCTCTTCTCAAGAATATCCGTGCACTTCTGCTCCAGCTCAAGGATTTTTCCTCCTTGGGCACTAGGCTCCTCGTTCTTCACTCGCTCTTGTAAGAGGTTGATCAGTTTCTCGTTTTCCTGACTCAGTTGCTCTGCCCTCTCTCGGTGCTGGTGGAAGGAGGTCTCTAAAATGGTCTTCTCATCCACCAGCTTCTCGTTCTCGGCTGTCAGCTCCTGCACCATCTGCTGCTGGTCTGATAATTCCTGCAGGGTGGCCTGCAGCTCTTCCGCGGTGCTGTGCTGATTCTCCTCCATCTTCTGGATCTTCTCAGTTAGCGATGCCAACGACAGCTCACTCGCATTGTTTGGGGAGCTCGCAGCAGGGGAGCCCTTGGAGCCCTTAAAAGAGTTGCTGGTGGCCGACAGGGGCCGAGATGGGGTGTCTGCAGTGATGTGCTCAAAATCCGAGGCATCTGGTGACAGAGAGGCTTTAGTGACATCACTGCTTGAAGACCCCGATGTCCGTAATGCGCTGCCATGTGCGCTTCTTCTATACTCATCGGCCTCACTGGACAACTCATTGCCAACTGGGCTTCCGAAGCTGGACTCCTGGGTTATAGAGGTTGGGCAGCTGCTGTCACCAGTGTGACTTGCTGCCCCTTCTGAATTTGGTGACTGTTCAAGGTAAGTCAGCTTCTCCTTCAAGGCCCTGTTTTCTTCCTCTAGGTCAGCAAGCTCTTTCTGAAAGGTCTTGTTCTTCTCCTCCAGGGTTCTTATCAAAGGTTCTGTGTCGCCTACTGGGGCTGACGTTCCCTCTGCACTTGGGTCTGATGCACTGGTGTCCTCAGTGCTTAGGGCCCACCTTTCTTTACATTTTTTTAGTTCGCTTCGAAGCCTGTTGATTTCACTGTCTTTGGTTTTGGCTTCTGCCAGAAGTTCCCGAACCTGAGACTCGAGTACAGACTTCTCTGTGCCCTCGTGCTCTTGCTTAGGTTTCGCGGAGGTGCTCCTCAGGTGCTTGGTGGGAGTGGGAGTGCAGGAGGAAGTTGGACTAGAGCCCAACTTCTTTGAGCTGGAGGGACCACGTGGCACAGACCTCTCTCTTGAGATAGTTACTGAGAGTTCCCGTGGGGCTGGAATGCCTGTCCGTTTGGTTGTTGGAACTGCCCCTAGAGACAAAAGACAAAAAAAGAAAAATTGAAAAAGAAAAAGAAAAGCAAGCATTTTCATAATGCAACTCAAATGTCTTCAAAATATGGCTGTCACCATTCATCCAATTCTTCCTCCTCATAGGTAGTTGCTCTGTCTTGAGTAGGGTTTTTTATGGGCTTGTGTATCAAGGAAAGCAGATACACAATCTGCTGAGCAATCCAGAACAATCCCAGCTGGTGGTTCAAGGCAGAGACATATAGCTCAATTAAGATCTATGGACACAACCAGGAACCCATAACTACCACACTAGGCAGGGACTCAGAGCAGAGAACTGCTTAACCCTCAACAGAGATGCTTCTTCCTGCAGTAGTAGATGGTAGTTAACACAGAGACCCTCAAATGAACAATGTGCAGAGAGTGAGCAACTTTGGAACAGTCGGCCCTAAACAGGATGTCTTTACCAAACCCCTCCCCTCAAGGCTAAGGTATCTATTCGAAAGAGGAGGTGGAAAGATTTTAAGAGCTGGAGGTGGTGGATGACTCCAAGAAAATGTTTCCAGATCTAACAGGACTATTGATAGACATCTGAACTCACACAGAATGACAGCAGACATAAGTTCCACACAAATTCAAACCAGACAAAATCCCAGCACTGAAAAGGAGAAGTGGGCACAAAGTCCCACCCCTAACTAAGAAACTATCTGCAATTGATATCTGCTGGGAAAGGGCAAATTAGTTTTCTCCAACACAATGTCCTTGGGCATATCAATCACACTCCAGAACAGGCTCCATGACCATGAACTCCATGTTTTTTTCATATACTTTTTTTTTGTCTTAATGACTTGTTTGTTTGCTTATCTGTTATGATTTCCATTTTCATTGTTGTTTTTTGTTTGTTTGTTTTGGTTTTTGTTTTGTTTTTGGAGAGGGATCTGGGAGGAGCCGGGAAGGGGAAAGAATATGATCAAAATGCACTGTATGAAAAATATATAAAAATTTTCAGAAGATCTATAAATACTAGAAAAAAAGATATTTTTAAATATCTTGGCCTATTGCTGATCTTTCAGTTACAGCAGCTGATTTACAGGTTTCTGTAAGTCACTCTGAACTAGGCCCTCTATAACTTGCAGCTTAATATAGCTACACAGATAATGTTGCTGGGATTAAAATACAAGCCTATTTACATTTCCCAATGACATACTTTAACTGAGTGCAGCTCTGAGGCAGGAAGAAGGGCTGGAGATAGCTGAGCAGTAACAAACTTGCTTAGCAAGACCAAGGTCCTATATTTCATCCTCAATGAGGAAGTGAAGGCGGGGGAAGGAAGGACTCTAACAAGGAATTAGAAAACAGAATTGGCACTCAGGGGGCAGAGGCAGGTGGATTTCTGAGTTTGAGGCCAGCCTAGTCTACAAAGCAAGTTCCAGGACAGCCAGGGCAACACAGAGAAACCCTGAATTGAAAAATCAAAAAGAAAAAAAGAATAGGAAACAGAATTGGTGTGCTCATTTATATTCATAGAGAGACAAGAACAAATGGGATAAGGATGTAGAATAGCTACAAATTTGAAAGAGATTCATAAAACAGGGAAATGAGACAGAATTTAGAATATTATTATGAGAAAGTTAAGTTCAAGGAGTTTTTTTTTTTCTATATTCTAGAGAATGCCAATGATATCTAGGGGTAAAAACATTAAAGTTCACACAGGGGTCACAGGGAAACAGACTCTGGACTTAAACTCACTTAACAATTGCAAAGACCTCTGGAGTCTGGGCTGACTGCTATAGCCTGGTCTCTAATCAGGAAAGATCCCAGATACGACCCATCTTTCCCTCTCTGTAGTCTAGAAGGGGGTGTAGAATGCACCCTTGGCTGGTCACAGCCTGGTGTTAAGAGACTCAGAGTCCATCCTGGCCTAGGCAGCTAATCAAAACACAGCAATGATGATGGGAAGCAATTGCTAAGTCCTGGAGAGGCTCAGCCACGTTACAATATAGAAACCCTGGTTCTTTAACTTTGAAATTATGTTGGTGCCATAGAGATGGATGAAGACATGTTGCTCTTGCAGAGGATCCAGGTTCAGTTCTCAGTACCCACATGGTGGCTCACAACTATCTGTAACTCTAGTTCCAGGGGATCTAACATCTTCTTCTAACTTCTGCAGGCAAAGCACTAGGCCCTCATGTGATGTACATTCATGAACATAAAATAAATCTAAAAAAATTAAATTATGCTCTTCAGACACTGAGTACTGTGACAGACTTCTAAAACTTGTACTCATCCAGTTAATTTGCTTACATCACACTAAATTACTCAATAAAGAAAAGGTTTAATTATTCTTATAAAATGAAGATTGTAACCACTCAGCAATAAAATGTTTTTGTAACACCAATCCTCTAGAATGAGGTCATCTTGGAGAGGGCCATACTAAAGACTGGAAGATCACTAATGTTTCATAGTAACTGCGTCCATCCAACAGGCAGACCTGCAGATCGAGGATTATCACAACAGTATCTGCCATTCCTCAAACATCACATAAGTGAGGCTCCTCTTCCTTCCTCCCCCCATTCTCTTTCCACCTTTAGTCATTTGTTGCTTTTCCTTCCTTTTGCTGCCAAAGTTTGGTCTGTTCTCCTTATAATTATTACCTGCGCCTTGTACAAACCACTCCGAATTAACAGCAAACCAAAGTTTATTTATGAAATATACCCAGTATGTTGTGAAACATATAATGCAAATATTTGTTGCATCTGTTTTTTTTTTTCTTTTCTTTGTTAAAACTGCACTGCTCTTTTCTCTAAGGCTTTCTGAACCTCTGTATTCTCTCCATTCTGTCTAAGGGCCTTCAAACCACATTTAAAATCTCCTTCCTCTTTTCTTTCTGCAGCCAGACAACTAGCCGGAGAATCCTATCAACAGCTTTGGAAGTGTTGCTATATTGTTCCTTTCCTTTGTTTTGGTCTGAACCTAGAATATTTTATGTAAATGTCTTAGACCTCTTTTTCTCAGGTCTTCTCGACTCCAACCTCCCATACCTTTGGGACAAACTATCAGTTAAGCATCTCATCTGTATTTCTGTCCCAGAATCTGTGTTTCATTTTTGTTTTGTTTTCAGCTAGGATCTCACTATGCACCCCCTAGCTGGCCTTGAGCTCTCTATGTAGACCAGGCTAGCTCCAAACTCATAGAGATCCCCCTGCTTCTGCCTCCCCAGTGTTGGGATTAAAGGTGTGCGCCACCATGCCCAGCCAGAATCTATTTCTTATCCAAGTCTGTGCCAACAGCAGACTTCTTGTCCTGACCATTATACTCAACCTCACTCACTTCTCCTTGACTCTTAACACACCCAGGAAACTCTAGTCAGTATCCTCAACATTATGCATGGGCTGCTTTTGGGTACCCACCCTCCTGACAGTAGCCCCTCACCCAGGCTTGGTAAATGAGCCCAATAAACTCATCAGTTTCCTAGGGTGAACGCTGATGTCTTTAGGACTTTATCAGAGGGGACACATATTGCTTAGCTCCTCCTCCCCACCTGGGAGAAATTTCTCACAACAAATAGTAAATTCACTTGTTAATGCTATTATGTCTTATGATATTCATAAACAGTAAACAAAATAAAATGGTAGAAGGATGTAATAATGTAAACTGTTTTACTAAAGAGGAACTTAAATATATGAAAATTAAGATGGCTGGATGTTTTCAGAATGGAAAACTAGGAAGTTTACACAAATTATGAAGGTCTGAGTAAGTTATTTAAGGTACATAAAGGATGAAACTTAGAATGATGTATATGGTTATTAAAAATTTCAAAGATCAACAATTAGAAGGACTGGTTAAAATATGCATGTCTAATCAAAGTTTATTTAGAAATGTTTGGTTATTGAAATATTATACAGTAGTTAATGTGGTGATATTGTGTTCCCCAAAATGCTGTGCACCCTAATAAACTTATCTGGGGTCAGAGAACAGAACAGCCACTAGATATAGAGGCCAGAAAAGGGTGGCACACACATCTTTAATCCTAACATCCCGAAGACAGAGATCTGTCTGGATCTCCTTGAGTTCAGTGTCACACTGAAAAAATAGCCAGGCATGGTGACACACGCCTTTAATCCCAGGAAGTGAAGGCAGGAAGCAGAAAAGTATATAAGGTGTGAGGACTAGGAACTAAAGTCTGTTAAGCTTTTAGGCTTTTAGCAGCAGTTCAGCTGAGATTCATTCTGGATGAGGACTCAGAGGTTTTCAATCTGAGGAAACAGGATCAGCTGAGGAATTTAAAAGGTGAGGTGGCTGTGGCTTGTTCTGCTTCTCTGATCCCAGATAAGTTTATTAGGGTGCACAATATTTTGGGGAACACAATATCACCACAAGTTAAAAGTACCAGACTGGTGTAACTGATCTTCTGGCTGTTCAATAACCAGACCTGAGGCTATACTAATGTGGTCAGAGGAACTAAAAAGGAGAATAGTTTCTTCTTGCCTTCCAAGGTCACTGAGGTCTCAGGGGACTGTGAGCCAGCTCTTAAATGTAGAGTTACATGGTCTCTTGTTCAGGGAAGCCTTTGTATTCTAACCAGCATCAAGTCTACAAAGAGGAGGATCAACACAGAGAAAACATTTCCTCATGTTTCCCTTCCAAGGGAAGGCATAGTTGGCTAAGCCAGGCCTTTGACTTATCCTCACAAATAAGGAACAACTGGTAAAAGAAAAATTAGAGGGGCCAGAGGTTTCTCTCAAGCCCATACGACCCCTGAGGGCTAGATCCTCAACTAGCCTTGACAGTCCAAAAATAAAATTAATTTTGACCACGTGCATGGTCTTAAACATTCAGCAGAAAAGAATAACCTAGGTTTATTGGTACTAGTCTCCAAATACCAGACATAGGTCTACATGAGACATTATTTACACAACTCTATCTAATCATTTGCTTCTTGATTAAAAAAAGAAAAATGTTGCCCAGATACAAGATTCAGAGCACTGCTCACTGCAACACCTGTCTATAGCCAAGGAAGACT